AGAGAGAGAGAGAGAGAGAGAGAGAGAGAGAGAGAACGGTGCACCATCCCCTGAACAAAACACACCCTGATAACAAATGCATACAAGCTATATTTCCACTCAGGTGCAGCAAAAATGAGGGCGCGTTGCGCTCAGGAAATCAAGAGAGAGAGAGAGAGAGAGAGAGAGAGAGAGAGAGAGAGAGAGAGAGAGAGAGAGAGAGAGAGAGAGAGAGAGAACACAGGATTTCTCTTTTCTTTTCCCAAGCGCTGTGCTCTCCCACGACGCACCCGCGGGTTGCGGGTTCACATTTCTCCCTTTCCCCACCACGTGGCGCAAACGCGATTAAATGCGGCCAATCAAGGTTTGCACGCACATGTTTGAACACGACTGTGCATTCGGTGCGTTCAAACGGTTATGTAGAGCCCAACTCAATCACCTTGTGGGTCGGGTGGGGCAGGTAGGTGTGGCTGCGGGCACCTGGTGCCCACCTCTGTTCTGCAATTTAGAAAGAAATGTGAGATAGTCTTTTCTTATTGATTTGCTTTCTATTGCACTGCATCGCATTCCATCTCAGTGCAGATCGTTAGGTTTCAAAGATCATAAACGTGTTATGCATGGGCTGTGAGAGGGTATAAGGTTTAAACTTTAAAGAGTTTAATGGGACAGACACAGCAATAACGAACAGGGGGGCTGCTGAACAGGGCTGGGCTGATAGATAAGGGCCGCTCCAAGAAGGAATGGGTGATACTAGCAGCTCCATGGGACAACGGAGCCCCGGGCTGAGACAGAAATGACAACAGCCCCAGGAAACAACAAACAGCAATCCCTGTGTTCCAAGTTGTATCACTGGGATGCTGGACCCTGTTTCCAGCAGCTGCCGCTCCCCACCAATAGATGGAGCAGCTCAACAGATAAGCCCTCGATTCTAATGGTTCGCTTAACACCGTTGGGATATAGGGCTTACGCAAGGGCTATTTTCTCAAAAAAAAAAAAAAAAAAAAAAAAAAAAAAAGAAGTGAGCTTTACAAAATGCCAGTTCAAGGGGAAAAGTACAAGAAAGGTAGGGAGGGCTCCGACAGTATTCAGAGTTTCACGGACCTATACATAGGGTCTCGCTGCACTACTGCCGAGTCCCCACTGCCCGGAAATTCTGGATAGTCGGCGGAGAGTTTGACGGTTTGACCTCTCTCCAAAATAGGGTTTTTTTCAATCACCGCTGCACGTACTATCCACGTTCCTACTCTCCGATTCCTCTTTTTTTACTTGTTCTATTTTGTTTTATTTTATGACTAGACCCCGTCATATACCTGAAAGACCCCCCCAGCCAGGTATCATAGTTGTGTGTGTATGTGTGCCCATCGGCTATGTATGTTTGCCCACTAGCAGACATCGTGACAGCAGATGAAGACACATCGCCACCACCGTTTTGTACGCCCAGACTCCAGGCACACTCTGCAACTTCGAGGTCCTCCGTTGAGTTCCTCAAAAATCTATCCGCGTAACGAATTTTGCAGGTCGGGCACCCTCCGCTCATGGAGAGTGCTTTTCTATGGTGCTTTCTGACAGGTATCCGAGGGTTTTTGGGTGGTGGAATTGGGATGGTTACTGCAGCCATGAAAAACTCTCCGATATCGGAGAGTGGGAGAGTAGTGCAGCTAGACCCATATATGACGACGTCAAACAGGGCTTCCCGGTGAGCCGTAGGCAGAGAGGGAGAAGAGGACAACAAACGAGGGGCTGCAACTGTGCAACAGACTGTTTCGTCAGAGTTTCACTTACCGTACGACGAAACAGTCTATCGCAGCCAGTATTGGGATGTTTCAGAAACTTTAAGTCGCAGAGGGACGGGGGGCCCTAGTATCCTGAGTGAGTGGGTAACTTGGGATGTTTCCCGACCAGAATTGGGATCCCCACAGGTTGACCATGTGTATACACCAGGGGCGCTAAAGGGCACCCCCCCTTGGACGCTGGGGTGAGGTAATCTTGTACTGTCTGAGCAATGCATGCCCGACCCGGTGATAGGTAACTGGACTGGCACCCACCACTGCTGCCAGAATATATCGGGCTGGTGTGGGTGTGTTAAAAAAAAAAAGGGGTAAAAAGGGGAAAAAAAAGACAGTCGAAACACGCAACCCTGATAAGCATCGTAATCATGAATGTCGGCTATGATGCCACTGACTGAGAACTCAACCTGAGAGCTCTTTTTAATGGATGCGTATTGGCCCTATTGGGTGTGTCCCAACCGGCCGCAGCAGAACCTGAGCAGCCACTTCCACTTGGCCTGATGCTCCCGCATTGCAACGGGTTACAGGGC